GAGACGTTTTTGTGAAAAACTTGGCTTTTCTTTTAAAAGTCAGCATGTGGTCTATTTTCTTCAGTCTCTGAGGAGAACCAAGTCCTGTTTACTTTAAAAATACAGGAATCAGAGCCAGATATCAAGCAGAACCAGATGTCATGACCCAGAAGAGAGCATACACAGATGGAAGGGGGACATATGGCACAAAATTTCTTTCCCACTGTGAGTGTCCCTGTCCAGACACCTCTTTAGCTTTTTCCCTTTTTGTTCCTGCAATATGTAGGGGAGTTAATTGCCAGACATTTTTTTCTGTTTTGAAGGCACGGATGAATCTTATTTTTTTTGTAACTCTCAAATACTCTGCTTATCCATCATTTCAGAAGTGGGTGAATTTATAAACTCCTTTATATGTCAGTAACGTTTTTATACAGAATCACAAAATATGCTGAGTTGGAAGGGACCCACAACGATCATGAAGTCCAACTCTTAAGTGAAAGGCCCATACTTTGACTGAACCTGCAACCTTGACTTTATTAGGACCATCCTCTAACCAGCTGAGCTAATCCCAGGGTCCTAAAGACGCATTTGCCCTGCCATTTCTGCTATGCTCCATTTGAAATGATGTAGTTGTGTCACACCTTACCTAAAAATACAGACCTAGTTGATACAGTCTGAATGTACTTCCCTAGGAGTGAGAGGTAGGATAAGAGTAGATAGCTTGAATTTCTTTCCAAATCCAACTGCTTGTCCAAGTCATCTAATTCCATGGCACACAAGAAATAATTGTTATGCATATTTGGAAAAAACCCAAACAAACAGAAAACAAACAAACAGTACGTGTATTAGAGAAAAAATACCTTCTTAAGGACTTGTTCCCTTCACATCTTTCAGGGGACAGTAGATAAACTGAGCAGGAAAGTGGGAAAAATCAAATCAGCATTAGAGATTAGAGGAGGGATGAGGCAGCACTGGGGTGCGTTACCCTAAACAATGTAGAAAAAGGAAGCACTCCCCTGATACACATAGCAAGTGAGATAAGGGACAGAGAGAACATGGATTTTAATAATTGCCAACAGAAATAAAACCAATCAGGGAAACTGCTTAATGAAAAAGAAAGAAAAAAACTAATGAGAGCATTCAAAATGCCCCTCCTATTACAGTCACTGCTGTGTACAAAAAAATAAAATAGGGCAAGATCACATGGGTGGCTGGCTGCAAAAATGAACCAGAAAAATTTACACATCTAAGTCACCTGATCTGTAGCAGCAATTCAAAACCAACCTTTTTGGAACACAAAATTCACCTTAATGACTTGAGGAGCTTTCTACCTTTCTTCATGGTGAAATAGCAACTCCTGATAAACACTGTCCTGGTCAAGCAGAGCTCTAACTCCAGCTGTAATGCCACAGTGACCTAGGTGCTCTGTCAGAGGAAGTCACACAGGCTGTACTTTTTAACTGTGCACCCTGATGCCCAGTAGACATCAGACGCCTTTTTTTCAATTGATTTCAACATGGGAAGCAATCTTAGAGTGGACCAAAGAAACAAATGGTATGCACTACTTTCTAGCTCACTTTTAGTGACTAATGTTCAGTTTGACTCAACTCAAATGTATCACGTACCAGTTAATATTATCCTAACTTAGAATAAGCATACATATCAAGTGGTGTGCTTTGCCTTTACTCTTGAGAATAATGTGTAGGGATGAGAGGAGGAAATCCTGTTGCTCCTGTGTTCATGTGTTGTAGCATCTCTGAATAAACCAGAGACTTGGAAGTACCCCAGAGTAAAGCTGCTAGCCACTGATTTTACGTACGTGTATTCCTAAGCTCTACAATGTAATACTTCCTTAGTACTTCTAGGACAAAGAGTCTCTCCTCAGCACAGATTTAATAAACATTAACTATATTCTGCCTGCTTCATCTTAAAGTTAACTGCAGCTATGAAAAGAGGTATATTAGTTGAGCTACCATAGCCTCTGAACAAAAGGCAGAAGGGGCTTCCCCCTTGGGCAGAAGCTCAAGGCACCAAGAAAAAGGGAAAATATAAAATTGCCTTTGTACCGTTCTACCTTCTAGGATGCAATACAGATGTAAATTAAAAGGGGAAAAAAAACCCCAAAGTCAGGCAGGGCTGTCCTGTCTTGAGTTATTGTATTGACTCTACCAGGTCCTAAGAGCTCATTCTGGGTTTGAGCTCAGAGCATGTTTCTCCCAATCACATAAGCCTCTATGTATGAACTAATACAGTCACAGATGTTGTGCTGGTTTTGGCTGGATTGTTTTTTCTTCACAGTGGCTAGTGTGGGACTATGTTCTGGATTTGACCTGAATACAGGATTGATCATACATAGATGTTTTTGTTAATGCTGAGCAGTGCTTACACAGAGCCAAGGGCTATTCTACTTTTCGGTGAGGAGATGGGGGTTGCATAAGAAACAGGTACAGGTGACCCAAAGTCACAAAAGTGATATTCCATACTATATGACATCATGCTCAGTATATAAACTGGGGGGAAGAAAGAAGAAGCAGGAGACATTTGGAGTGATGGTGTTTGTCCTCCCAAGTAACCATTATGCATGATGCGGTCCTGCTTTCCTGAAGATGGCTGAACACCTGCCTGTCCATGGGAATTAATTCTTTGTTTTCCTTTGATTTTGCTTTTCCTATTAAACTGTCTTTATCTCAACCCATGAGTTTTCTAGCTTTTACCTTTCCAATCCCACTGGTTGGGGAGTGAGCAAGTGGCTGTGTGGTGCTTGGTTGCTGGCTGGTGTTAAACCATGACAGATGTGTACATTAGAAAGTGAAACAGGCCATATTTTGGCACCAGTTACCATAGAGGAAAGAACGTGGGATACAGGAGGAAAATCACGAAAGGAGGGAAAGTCTCCCAGAAAACACTACTCTCACAGTATGGATGGAAAGATACAGTGGAATTAGAAAACTTGAGACAAGTTAATCACAAGGTAAGGAAGGGATGGGGCAACCTGGAGCACCAAATAAATTTGGACAGGAGCAAGCCAATAGAAGAAATGTGTGGTTATGGTTGAAAACTAAAAAATTGTGCAGAGAATGCTTTCAATGTATCTTACACCACATACCATTCAGACTGTGTTTGCTGTCAGTATAAACAACTGTGCTGCTTTTGGACATGGTTAATTTTTTGCAACAGCTGGGAGGGGGCGTGGCTGAGGGGAAGTGGCCAGGACCTTAATGTTATTGGATACCACTTCACATCATTGCCAGAGCAGGGGAAAGGGACTCTCTCTGGCTTCTGAGGAGAAGGCTGTTCCTTCCAGTGGGGAGAAAACATGGTGGGGAAGAGCCAATCGGTATTGTCTTGGGCTTTATATGTAAATCATTTATTAATCTTATACCTTTTGTTATAAATACTGTTGCTGATATTGTTTGTTTTCTTATCTCGTTGTCTCCAGTAAATTGTTCTTATCTTAACCCACGCTCACTTTCACACAAGAACACTAAAATGTCTACATAATTATACTAAATGTGGTTGTTTGAAAGTATCAGGTAAATAAATTCTGACTCTCATCTGTCTTCAATTAAGAGTCTTTAGGAGTCTCATTTAGTGGGAAAATGCTTATCTTGAATATTGTAGCAAACCTCTGAAAAGAACTATGAAAAAAGCGGGCAGAAATCGTAACAGCACATTCACAGAAGAAATAAAAAATGCCAGCAAAACTCCATGCAAATCAGTGTATTTTTCTGTAGTACTGAAAATCCTATTTCAAAGCATATGGAATTTAAAAGTTGAAAAAACTCCAGCACAGTTTCAACATCTTTTCTTTATTACTTTTCCCCTTCGACATGGAGAATAAGAGGGTTCTGGTTTTAAACATAAATGAAAAAAACCTTTGAAGGAAAATGTAATTTTCAAAACTTTCTTGAACAAGTCTAGGTCTAAACACAACGTAAAAATTTGGCAATAATGATTATCTAAACTATCCAAGTTCCTAAATTTATTTTTTAAATAGAAAACTGATTCGACATCTACTATAACAACAGCATCTGATGGACCTATCCTGTTCTCAATTCTCATGGTGACAACTCAGAACAAGTCTCAAGTCAGTCAAGGCTATGGAAAATTATGCAGTTGTGAACCCCACATCAAGGAGAATGAGAAACTGCTCCTAAGGAGTATTTGCTAGACATTCTCAAAGGAAAAGGTACCATGAAACACTACTGCAAATCTTTCACTCTGAATATCTATTTCCACTCCCAGATCTTGCTTTCTCTCTCCCATGAATACAGCCCAATGAAGAATATATTCTATAATATACATACTTCTGAGAACCAACTGACAGATGCTATCCTAGCAATAAACATGATGTAAGAACCTACTTAACTTCAGAAAAGAACAACAACAACAATAACAACAAAACAAGAAGAATTCATGTTTGCATTCAGATGCTGCTTTTCAAGGCTGGACCATGAAAACTGCTGCTTCAGACAACCTTGCAAAGGAAGCAGCATGCCATTTTCTCATGGTGACACACACAGAACAATGGATTGGGGTCCAGAAATACCAAGCTATTTCCAAGCAGTTTGATATAGGCACATGCCTCTAACTTTTTCTTTCACAATTAGACAAGATACCATTTCTTGCCATTACCATCTGGTCATGTTTCAGAACTGGCCATTTTCCACTCTCTCCAGGAAACCCAGCCCAAGCACAGTCCTTTGATAGATTCTCAGTGAATTTCTGTGTGTGTAGTTAGAGACACAGAATGAGAACTTCTGGTTTTCAGAGTAGCAGCACATTCTAGAACTTCCAGTTCTCAAAAAATCTGAAATACTTTCAGTTTCCTGACCATTACAAGAGACTAAGTTTTTTTTAAAAAAAAAAAAAAAACAAAGACCAGATATCACAGAATTATTCAACAAATGTCTAAAAAGCCATTTGTTGAACACACATGGTACCAACTGTTCAGCTGAAACACATTAAGTGTTGTGAGTTTTAAATATACCTGCTATGTCATGTATTTCCCCAACTCCTTAAAGAAATAAGGATAAGGCCTTTTGCTCAGAAGGGGACCTCAAGGCTTGCACAGTTCAGGCTTTCCTGTAGCAATGTGGAAATCAGACAATCATGGAGAAGTAACAAGAAGTGGAACAGAAAGACTAGGAAAATTCTGATGATAGAAACAGATTTTTAATTTATCAACTGCAGTTTCAATTTTTAAAAATGGACTTCACAGCTGCTTCTTCATATAACATTCATGTGGACCATGACTATTTAATTGTGTACCACCATCACCATAACATTTACTTCTCATATCTAATGAAGGCTAACACAACAAATTGTGTCACTGTCAAAAATCCAGAACAGAAATAAAGTTGCACTGAGTTTTTCTTTTAAGGTGTAATTTAAGGAAGGGATGACTATTTTTTATATTTCAAAGAAAACATTTAGTTTGTAATATAAAGACTTTGTGCAAGAAACATCACAATTCAGAATTACCTTCTCATTATTATTTTAATAGGCGCTTCCCTTTGCTGCAGAATTGTTCGAAGTTAAGGGCAATAAATACACTTCAGAATAAGACACTTTTTTCCTGAATGGCATTTGATAGCGCACTTTTTTCCAGAATCTTGTATTTGCTAAACATGATTTTTCTGAGAAGTCACCTTTCCATTGGATAGCTCCATGTTTTTGCTTAATGTATCTGATTGATTCTGGCATGCTTGTGTAGTCCTGTATTTCATCCATTTCTATAAGAATCACTTGAATCCCATCACGGATGAGAGCATTATACATAGCTAGCTGTTGTTCAGAGGTGTCTTCTAGCAGGCAGCAACTAGATGTTTCTGATCCCAAAATAATCATCAGTCTTCTGCTTTGCTTAAGGGTTTCATCAGCAACACTGACTACAGCTGTAAGTAATAAAGGAATGATCAAAGTTTCCATAGAAACTTTACAACTGATGTAAAATAGTTCTTAGTTTTAAAATTACACATATGTGAAGCTCAGAGAACTGGTAGGTTTAAGATATTCAAGCTATCATTCATGATTCATGATCCACTGTATGACACAGCTGACAAAAAATTAGTTTTCTTCAGCCCCCAGTAGGAGATATCATTCAAAAAACCTCAACAATATTATTCATGCTGTTGAATCCTAATTTGTTCATCAATAAAAAGAAAGTGCAGACCCTCATAACACTGGAACAAAATTTTCAGTAAGGAAAAAAAAAGAAATAAATTGTCTATTGGACAAGCCTTCAAGCCTGCGCAATGGATTTTTTAGGTGAGATGCAGTATGCGCGGAACTGAACCCACCCTTTAATCCTAAGGTTCATCTGCCAGGGCCGAGCAAGCTTGGATGGTGGCAGTGAGGTCCTCAGGACGTAGGTTTGATTAGAGTGACCTTCTCTTAGGTGGATGGCCTTACGGGGCTAAGCGAGCTCCATCTGCCCGGGTTTGGAATTAGAGTTGTCCTTCTCCTAGGATGACTGCCAGAAGGCTAATGAGCTCATCCTGCCCAAGAATGTAGTGTAACTGGTCCTATGGTTTTGACCTGACTGGCGTGGGCAACCCTACCGAAGGCATGTACCAACGCCAGCATAGCTCGCAACCACATAGGGGCACACGGGCTACGTACCTGTTGGAGCAGAACGTCGCTCAGGACGTCTGCTATTTGCAGAGTCGAGCATGGTTCTGATGTTCCAACATGCTAGAGTTAATTTAGGTACACCTTTGGAGGCAGGTGCATGCCTTTGTCTTTTGCTCTTTGTGCGACCGCATAGGAAGAAGATGCCCGTTGGTCTAACTATCCATTAAAAAATAAACAAATACAGCTTTCTTTTCAAAAGATGTAGGTTTTAATTGCACAGATAAACTTCGAACCTGAGAACAATGTCCCAAAAGACAACTTTAACTCTACTAATTAAAGCATACCTTCTCCAGGTAAATCATCTCTTCCAAATATGAAGAGATTATATCCACATTGTTTTTCTAAAACATCTGGAAGTATTCTATGAACAAAGGTCTCCAGACAATAGAAACTTTTGCCTTCACTGCTTTTTGCATACAGGACATATGCATCATAAGTTTTCCCATCTAAAACAAACACAAACATTTCTATTAAAAAACTAAAACTGAAATGCCTTTATTGCAAAGTTCCATTTTGGTGTGTTTAAAAATAATAATGGGGGGCTGATTTCACCTATCTTACAGAATAACTTCAAATTACTAAAATGCTCTACAAATCAAAAGAAAGATGATCAGAACCTGACTTCCTTTCCCATCATGGGAAGGGAGGAGACAGAAAGTGAGCTGTATGCCAGTTCTGGGACCTGCAGGAAAGAGCTCCCAACCCCAGAGGTGCCAGGACATTAAAAAATGCCCTCTTACAGGACTTTCTTCACCACGTCTCCTAAAGCAATTTCAACAGCAGTAATCTCCACTTCTAACTAACCATAAGAGAGGATGGAAAAATGACAGTTCTTTCTTGTAATAATTCTGTGGGGAAAAGTCACATAGAAGAAAAGGTGAGAAGGCAGCTGAAGTCTTGAAAGTTAAAACTGCATAGTAAGCAGGACTGAAGTAAACAAACCAAAGTCAGATTTAACTCATCAAGTTACTTTTTTTTTTTTAAAATTAGAACTCCATTTAAGCGTTCCAGAAAAACTGAACTTTTGACCAGAAGTTGAAATTACTTTTCTGTGAAAACATTTAGGACAGTCATGAGCAAACATTAACTACATAAATGTATGTAATCCTTTCACTTTCAAGCTATGGGGAACTCCGGACAGACTAATTCTGAGCACTCATACAAAAAATACCTATGATATTGTGCTCATTTCAAATTTTTCATACCTTAGTGTATTTGTCTACAGTACAGCCAACAAAAACATATAAGAAGAATCACAGAACTAGAAGAACACAGAACTAGTAGCAAATTTTCTCTTTGGCATGTAAACATCATAACTTACAGGATTTAGAAGGAAAGTGTGGGTAAAAGGGAGAAATTGCAAAACAAAACAAAAAAAACCCAACAAAATTAATCTCTGAGAAATTAGTCTGATTTTCTAAGTAAATATTTAATGCACGTCTTTAAACAGTTAGTTTACAGGATGTAGCTCTGCTGACACCTATTGTTCATCATCAGAGTGACCACATAGCTACATGTAAAGAAACTACAGAAAAGCAAAAAAAACCATGCTAATTTGTGAATGGCGTATAATTCTTTTTGCCCTATCTCACTATGACTGTCTTCAATATTACACCTTTTATTACCTCAAGCATTATATATTTTACCCATATGACTGAAAAAATGCCCCCCAAAAATGTCTTTGTGTGTATCTGAAAATTCCTCATGAAAGGTCCACATATATTCTACAAAATAATCCCATTTTTGCTCAGAAGCAATGGCAAGTGAAAAAAATCAATAGGATAATTACACTCACATACCTGGTCACATTCACATACCTTCCTTACTTGTAAAGGCACAGACAGAATTACGGTACCAAAGCACCAAATCAATCTTGAAAGTCTTATAGATTATTAAAATAATAAATGTTAAAATTAACAAAGAGACAAGCCCTCCAGTCAGCCATCTTTGTATATCAGGAACTGCACAAAAATATAAGAAGATTGCTTTTTAAATGTTGGATTTGTCCAAACCTGATCTTTCACACAAATGCAATACAAATTTAAATATTATTAATTTATTTTATTCATATTCATATTATGATATTAATATTATTCACGTTATTTTTCATTTCTATTTACCTGCTTTTTAAAATAAAGATAAATACACTACTACAGTGACTCTTTTCCTATGCACAGGCACATTCACAGGTACTGCAAACTGTAATGCACCTGTCTTCTATTGAAATGACACACAAGAATTTGGTATCAAAACACCTTCTGGGGAAGTAAAGACAATCACAGGCCTCAAAGATAACAAGTATTTCTTACCTCTGTGCTTTAATATAATATAAGATGCAACCTGCCCAAAGGCATTTGAAGCTTGACAGACAAATGGTTGTTCATAATCTTCACTAGTCACTTCTGAAATTATTAGCTTCACAGAATGCATAGGGCGTCCATTGTTAGAAGTTTCTTCCCTGTCAAAAAGGTGACAAATAGGACCATAAACCACAGCCCTTTCTGGAATGGCTTCATCTCTAAGATCCGCAGCACAACAATGGTTATTTCCTTCTGCAAATGTCAACCACACTTCACACAAGATGAGCAATTGCATTACATGAAAGAAACCTGAACAGCCAGACATTCATACTGACATTTAGCATATGCGTTCGAAAACATCAAGACACCAAGACATTATCTTATCTGGAGCTGTGTTTCTATAGTTTAAAGGACAAAAATATACCTTAGAAACCTAAGCAAATCATTGTTATAGACTTCCCTACCCCTGTAAGAATAGATTGACAGAGAGATTCCACAATGGGATATGACACAGAAAGAGGCCCTGGAACAAGGCATCACCTAGTGGTCAGCAGCTATGGGACAAGGAGGACATCAAAGGTGGTGACATGCAGCAGACACCATCAATTCACAGTGTGATTCCAGCTACAGGGACTGGAGTCTAAACAGTGCTTCACCCCATGGATCAGAAAAGACTTGTAATAGCCGGTTGTGTCAGGTCGCACCATTAAGAGACCCAGATTATCCCCCATACATTGTACAAGGGCATAAAAACACTCATGCTAACTTTCAGTTAGTTGTGTACTGTGACGTGTGACTGATGTGTGAACTAAACAAATTCTAACCACCAGCAAAATGTGGGATACCACTACCTTGCTAATCGTAGACCTCAAATGTAAAATTAACTAACTAGTCCACTTCCTTTCCTGAAAACATAGTCTAGTTATCATTTAAAATGCAAAATAAAACATACCATAAAAGGCATATAAAGGACCACATGGATCACTTTCTAAGCAAAAAGTTACAGTAATTTGAACACTGAAACAGGGAATGAATAAATCAACATCACTAATGCAAAAGACTAACGGTTGCAAAGATGACCATTTAAGCTCTAGGAAGTAAAAAAATAACATTGCTTTTACAATATCAATTCAGTAACCATGTGCCTCTGCATTATGACCCAATTTTTTATGGCATTACAATTCTTTATGACAATATAATATATTACTTTTATCTGGTGTTTTCTCTTTGTGAGCACCCAAATAATTCAGCCCTTTATTTCTCTGTTTGTTTTATGATGACTGCTTTTTTCTCACAACTATATTCTTACTTTGAAGATATCATTTTCATTTCTTCGTCAGTTTCTTGGTCACAGATAGTGCTTGAGAATGTACAAAAATTACCACATTTTTTTATTCATGGAACCACCGTGAGACAAGGGCTGATAAAAAAACTGCAATTTTTAGTTCCCAACCTCTAATATCTAAGAAAATTTCAGATTGCCTCTTGCTCCAATTTAAGTTGCTTTTCCAGTCAAGTACAATTTCTTCTCTCCTAACTAACTCCATTTAACCTGCTTTTCACCATCACCTTGTCTCTCTCTTGCCCTTCTCACGCTTTGCTCAGTCCAAGTCCTCCCAAAACCCAACTCATCACTGGAAATTTGTCTTCCTTTTCTCACCCATCTAAGCTTCAGTACAAATGCCCCCAATGAAGTCTTCCATTAGCTCTTCAGCTGATTTCTGTTATATTTCTCTAACTCAAGGCTCTTAAACCTGGAAATCTCAACTTCTCCTGTAAAGCACAGGTTTGTCCTCTTGTGACCTTTCACAGAGGCAGATATGAAGGGAAAGGAGAACACAGAGAAAAGAGACAGTCTGGAGATAATGTACCTGGACATGCCTGATCCAACCAAAAGAGGTCTCTGCCAGGTCAGAGCCTGCATTACAGTATTACAAGTATGAGACTGTAACAAAACACCTTTTTCCAAGTTTGGAAATTAAGACAGATTTTTTACAATGACCAAAAAAAGCACAATCTCATGTGAAGTCCATATGCCTCCTATGTTTCAAGTTTTTATTTCAAAGCAGGAAGTGAATTGGGGAAGGCAAGCATTAGAGTTTTTAAAAAGAATACTATTTAAAGCAAGGGGAAAATGTTGATTTATATTTTAATGCCAAAGGGAGAAAGTTCCACTTTGGTTGCCAACCCAGTATTTTCTAGTCTGAAAATATACTTACTCATAGGGACTTGCAAAAATTCTGCTCATATAAAATACATCAATATACACACCGTTGCCTGTCCAAAACACTTCATACCCATCAGCACCTGTTGTATTGCAATCCACTGTAACCTGTGAGCCTATAAAATTGTGTTACAAAATAAAGAGTTAATTTCCATAGCCTAATTAAAGTCTATACAATTCTCTAATTGTATATCAGTGTGGGAATTGTTCACTGATTCCCACACAGACCAGCTAAGGATGGTACCAAACCCTTTCAGAAAAGTTACTCTAACAGAGGGTCTATATACTCAGTGATTTGCAGATCCAGAAAGAGGATGGTAGGATGGAAAAGGCTGAATCCAGGAAGATGTCTGCCCCTGGGGCATCACTTTGCCTGAGGATTTGAGATGGATCTGTTCTTAGAATGTCTTCCAGAGTCACGGAAAGCAACAGATGTGACAGATAATCACTTGGGTTCCCTACAATTTTCTTGGCATCTGAGAAATTTCCCTAGGACTTTGTAAGCAACACACCTCATTTGTTTCCCTCTCACCCCTTAACATTCCTCCTTTGGGAGATCAACAAAGAGAAATTGAGCTGGTTACTGAACTAGTTTTTTGGTTTTTTTTCAAAAAGACAAAAGCAAGAAAACACATAATAGGGCACTCCTCGAGTATAAATTTTCACTATGATACAGATTCATACTTTCTCATAGAGAAAACTACTTACCAAGTTCCACTTCAATAGAGTTGTTTCTTGGGTAAGATATTTCCGGAGGCTTTTTTGGTTGGCTCACTAAACAAAAGAAAAAAGTGCTTTTCAGAAAACCTTTAGGGCAGTTGCAGTCTGTTCTACAGACAAGGCTGTCAGCAATTTTATAACAAACATCACTCAGTACTTGAAGTATCATATCTCAGATAGTCATTACTTCTGACTTGAAGCTAAGCTGTTCTTCACTCTGTCTCTTCCAAAATGTAATGCCTCAAATCTCCACACACTCATGGTGGACTGGCTATTCCATGGCACAAAAATTCTGTAGTATTGCATGCACAGGTGCTGAGAGGAGTATGGGCAAATATCTGCTGCTCTACAGTCTGGATAGTCTGTCACCCAGCACCCCACAGATACAAACTGGAGCCAAGAACTTTTAGACTGCAGTTCATCTATTTTAGACTTCTACTATTCTAAGGGGGAAATTTAATTTTTATACTCCAGTGAAAGGCCTTAAATTTCTTCCCACAGCCTTATCTATAAGGAAGTACAATACCAGTGACCCCTTTTAGATGTTTACAATTAAGACTACATATATGACACTCTCCAAGTGTACAAATTAACAAACATATATCATAAAGCATCTGAGTCCCCTAGCAAAGTACACAGGATTGTCCCAAATATATCCTTCCCTTCCCATTCTGAAAACTGGGTCTGCATTACTCTTTGGACCCCAAACCACCATTTTAGTATAAACTTGCTCACCTGGAGTCTTTAAAAACTACTGAGCTACCTTCAGTCACATATGGCAAAGGAGTGATACGATTTTGTTTCTACTCAGTCACAGAAGCTGAAATTCCACTAAGAGAGAAGTTCTAGGACCAGCTTTTAAGACCAGAATGGTCATTTCATTTGATCCAACCTTATGTTCTTCAGATTTTGTTTATTCATATCACACAGATATGATACATACTCCCATCATATGTTCACACACACACTTATATACTTACATACGTATGCATATATATGCACACAGACAAAACAGGCAAGCACAAAAACAGACCATTAAATAGTAATACAATATATTAGTAAACCTTAAAATGTGTTTCAGCTGAAATATAAAAACAGTATTTGTATTGCTTACCTTGGTATAGCACAGTCTTTTCAGTGATCCATTACCAATCTCACGATGCTGTGCTAGCAAAGGATTTCGTATTTTACACCTACACCATCTTTTATATTTTTTGTTGTGCTGGTGCCCCCCAACATAAATCGGGGTTTACTAAGCTACACACAATATCAGAGATGAAAAGTTCTTGTGCTGAGCAGCTTAAAACCAAAAGCAAAAGAGACAAAGGTTTGAAGGAAACAGATAGTACACACAGAGTAAAGACTCTGCCATTATTTGGGCTGGTTTAGTTCATTGCTCTTGCATTAAGAGAATAATGTAAAAGACAAAGAAGTAAGGTGGGCAGGATAGAGGCTACAGTAGAAAATATTGCACCACCAAGCCTTACAGGGCATCTGTTTAGGGACTTTGCCAGCTGGTCTGGGCAGCAGAGCTTTGATATACTGCAACTTTGAACAGGGGAATGAATCTTCAACATGGTGTCGACAATAGACAAAGTATAAATACCCTCAGTTAGCATTTATTTCCCTCACATTTAGGTGAAAACCAGTAGCCCTAAGCATGTCTATCCACAGATTAGGTCTTTCTGCTTTAGTCTATGAACACAAACACAGTGAAATTATTTACTTACCTTCTACAATCAGACTGACATCTCGTGAAATGTTATATTGTTTTCCATTGTAGTTACATGTTGTTTCACATGTATAGTTTCCTTGATCATGTACAGTCACATTGAAAATTATAAGATCACCGTTTGAGAAGGCAAATCTTTTCCCTTCCAGCAGCTGGCAGTCCTAAAAATGTATAGAGAACTCTGTTAATTCATATTACTGTATATTTCCATGGTTTGTCTCTCTTTAATACAATCTGAAGTTTCAGTGGACCACAGCATTGGGATGGATGCCTTGCAGAGGCTGAGGAAGGGCAAGGGCAGTGGAATAAAAAGCACTGTCTGCTTCATTTCAGCTGAGTTTTTTAATTCAAAGATACCCCAGTTCATTTCCTTTGGAAAACAACTTTTGATATTAGAGAAATGAGAAAATAAAATGCAAGAGTTAGGATTTGTAGAAGTATTCATCCATTAAGAATCACTCAATAATAACACTTAATTTTTTAAGGAATCTAAATACTACTGGTACCATTTGGACTGCATGGGCCTGAGGCAGGAATTCCACAGAACGCACTACATTCTTGAAACAGAAAGAGCCTTTAAATGAGTGTGAACCACATGAAATAGAACAATTTAATAGAACAATATTGAGCACATAATGGATATCTCACACTAAATCTGTTTCCAATAAACTTACGAGTGTGCTTCGCTGGCAGGTAAACAGATGCCCCCTGGGGGATACGTGGGTTAACAGCACTCCTACATCTAAGCTTAATTTCTACCCCGTTAATCAAAAAACACAATGTACCTTTAAAGATAAAAAGTCTAATCCTCTTGTAGTTTTTTTTAAATAATTTTATCTCCCTTTTACAATAAATCTTTAGTTTTTCTGCTCCAATTTTCGAAGATCAGTGATTTTTATTTTAAATAATGGACAGCTATGAGGCAGTAAAAATCACCACATTCTCACCTTATACCAATGAACAGGCTGAATATCCTTCTCATTCCTGAAATAATCCAAGTGTGGACACACAACCTTTGCAGATGATGATGTGAATATCACCTCCTCTACAGCAAATTTTTCATTTAAGCATAAACCATCAATCTTCTCAAAAACTGTTACTTTTGTACACATTTTCTTCCAGCTTGTCAAATTCCTGCAATGAATAGACCATAATTAAATTAACCTATTTGGCACATTCTGCAACTCAAAAATATATGGCATTCTTTTTGGAGAAGAAAGAGAAGACAAGAAGTTCAGAGTTTCTTTAATAGATTTACTTTGCCTATAAGGAAGGAGAACCCAAAACTAGACTTAATTTCCCCAGTCTAAGTTAGTTTTTGTGAATGCACTAAGTATTTCTCTTACTCTCAAAATTTGACTTGCTTTCTAAAAGTTATTCACTTTGAAACTCATTTCTGTAAAAATGTAATTTTTTTTAATTTTCACCTTATGACACATTCATAATCTCCAGAATCTTCTAACATTGCAGGAAGAAACCAAATTAAATTCTTCTGCTGATGCACTCTAGACAGTTTGTCTCTAGGCACAGCTGTCTGGTTACCAACTTTATACCACGTTAAGTTGTAGCTTCCACTTTTCAAGCTCTTTTCCGGTGAACAGTTAATAGCAAGAGGCTGCCCGTCAGGCACAAGAATTTGCCCCAACATTGCATCATAGGTTTCACATTTCTCTAAAAGAAAGAGATAAATATTAAAGAAAAACTCAAACATCCTACAAGAATATACTGAACTTATTTTCTGATTACATTTATAAAGTTAATTGGAGTTTTCACCTCCATTCTCAAGTCAACTACTAAAATACAATTTTAATTCCTTATCTTTACATCTGAGAGTACTACCCAGTGGTATACAGATACAGTTGTGCCACTGAAATGAAATACTGTTTTTTGAATGCAAAATTTACACTCAGTAGAATGTCTTTGTTTGCAGCAGACTTGCATGTTGAACTGCAGATGCAAACTACTATAAAGCACATGTTTTTCCCCAATCTGTTTCATGTGCATATACACAAACATGCACATGCACACAAATTTCACATTTAAGGTCTTTAACTTCACTTAACTGTAGTCAAAGTAATTCTTCAAAACAGACTATGCTTTTGATACCCAAATGTCCTAAGAGGACACTGAAGTTAAAGATCGTGTTGCACAAACATTAGGTTTACAACGGAAATTTCAACTCACCCTTCATTTTATGAATTTTAGAGAGGAATTATTGCAATCACCAATGAGCTCATTTTCTTTTCTTCTGACACAAACAGACTTATACAGGAAAAGAGCAATACCATGAGTTCGGCTTGGGGTTTTTTGGAGTTTCTTTTTGCAATATGACAAAAAAGGCACCAACTCCAATGGCACCATGGTCCCATTCCTGAGTCAGTATATTTACCTAAATTTCCTTTCTTTGTTAGAAGATAAGAACTGCCACAGAGTCATGCAGGCATCTGTCTAGCCCAAAATCCTGGCACTGATAACAAGCAGAGCCAAATGTGCAAGAGTGGAGAACAAATACAGTAATACTTTGCTTTCAGCCCCTTTCTTTCCTCTTATGTTCTGCATTAAAACCATTCACTCGCTTTTATAATTTCTTTGGGTATCATGCATTTCTTGTTATGAGGAATGGTAATTTTTCTCTCATCTGCCCAGTCTATGGTATTTACAATTTTATAGATCTTCATCCCATCTTGCCTCAGTTGCTTCTTTACCTCAGAGTTTCTTTTCTTTACCTCCTTCACTTAGTGACTTCTCATAGGGAAGCCATCCCATATCAGATGACACTGTCACTCATCTCTCTACCTTTTCTGAAATAATCTTTCGGAGATGGAATGACCAGAACTGAGTTCAACTGGTACACATTTACCATGGAGTAACAGAGTAGCATAATGAAGCTTTCTGCTTTCTACTCTGCTGCTTTCCAAAAATTCTGCTTTTCTGCTCACTGCTGATGACAGAGTTAATGATTCCAAAGAGCAGCCAGAGACATCAAAGCAGCATTTTCCCAGGTGGTTATCAATTAACTTTATGCTCACATCACACACATACAGTACACATGCTTCTGCTCTAGGTGCATGGCCCTTCCATGCCCCTTCACATCCAACTTGATTTTACTTACTGACATTCTATCACTACAATATTTGATATCCAGACACCCTCTTCATAGCAAACATCAGTTTTAACCATCAAAGGATAATTTTGTGTCATCCACAGTTCGCATCACCTCACCATAAATCTTTTCCAAATTACTTATCCAAACCTTGAATTACTCAGATATCTGTATTAAATGCCCCACAATAACTGTGATGGTTATGAAATGCCGTGGCCACAAGAACTGATAACACTTTTCTGCCACTAAATGCTAATAATCTGGAATAATGTAATAGGCCCCAGCACATGCTAGAGACCATACAGCTGGAAAGCAGATCTTCAGAGAACATTTGGGTCTTGGTGGACCACAACTGACCATGAGCCACCAACGCTCCTTCATGGCAAAAAAGGCTAACAGTGTCCTGGGGTGCATTAGGACCTGCTAGATTTGAACTTACTGGAGAGAGTCCAGCACATAGCCACAAAAGTGATTAAGGGAAAGGAGTATCTCTCACTTGAGGAGAGAATGAAAGTGCAGGGACTCTTCAGCCTAGAGAAGAGAAGGCTTGAAGAGTGTGTGAATGGATCTTATCAATGTGTGTAAATACCTGATGGGAGGGAAGGAAGAACAAAGAGACAGACTTTGCCAGCATTGCCCACTGAGAGGACAAGAGGCAACGAGCACAAACTGAAACACAAAACATTCAATCTGAACACAAGAAAAGACTTTTTTATTGTAAGGGTGATCAAACACTGGAACAAGTTGCCCAAAGAGGTCATGGAGTCTCCATTTGCAGAGATATTCAAAATCTAGCTGGACACAGTACTGGGCAACCTGCCCTAGCTGACCTTGGGGTATGTCAGTGAGGTTGGACTACATGATCTCAAGAGTTCCTTTCCAACCTAAATGATTCTGTGATAAGATACTACATGAAATAACACATATGTTTTAGAGATCCCCACTCTTAGGACTGTTAAAAAGAACTCACTGGCATGCATGTAGATTTTACTTATACAGCCATTTTCACAGAAAGTTTATTACTTGAGTGAAAAAAAATAAGTTTCAGAACAAAACCTTCCATAGCCAATAAACTTACTTGCAATAATTAAAGACAGAAATGCTGTGGCAATATTACATGAAAAGAGTGTTTTTGCTGTCATGTTTCCCTACAGAAATGGAAAGAAAACTTTCAATTAGTGGCTTCCAATATAAACTTCCACAATTTAAAATCAAATTTAATACAGTTAATACAGGAATTACATAGTTAATTCAGGACACATGAAATACAGGAATTGTCTTTGACTTGTTTTGAGCCTCTTACCTGCTTGTTTTACCTGACATCTCCTAATTATTGCACGAGAAGAAAAAAAGTGAGTAAATATTTCCTATTCAGCTTGTTAAGCACTCGGGGTTTTTTACATCTCTAGCACACTCCTTCCCACTTCTTGCTTTCCCAAGCTACAGTGTTAGATTCTCTAACTGTCCCTGAGACAGAATCTGATTTCATATTTCTGAATATCTTTGTCACCCACTACTGTACTGCCTCCAGTTATGCTACAGCCTGTCTGAAATGGGAAGGAGAGGACAGAACTTGCATACAGTCTTCAAAACATAGGTGCACTATGGATTTATAAGCTAAAACAATTATTGGGCTTTTTTGGATTTTTTCCTAATAATTTCTAACCACGTCATTGTTCTTTGAGGACTACTGACTATTGACCTGATATTTCCATGGGCCTATGAAGTAAAATTCCAAGACCTCGTCACTGAGTGCTGAGAATCAGGTAAACCCAGTCAGCTGCTGAGCACGTGATGTTAGGATTTTGGCCATATGTTTTCATTTTAAATTTTCTTTATATTTATCTAAAAAAATTTCTTATGCCATTATTACCCAGTCATTCACTATCGTGACATCTTTCTGCCACTCTTTGCAATTTACACCTCCATGTTCTAGCCTGAATAGCTTTGTATTGTTGGCAAATTCTGCCACTACAACAGTTTCCCTCTGTCTGGATCATTAAAAATACATGCTGAGCAGAAGATGTGTTTGGGACTCCAGTGGTGATCTTCCTTCACCTGAAAATCTAAGCATTTATGTTTTACCTGCTTATTTATACGTTTGAGAATGATTATCAGGACTTTAGTAGTCTTCTGATCCATACTGCGATTGGAGAAGGAACTGTTAGTTGCATGCCTGTGTCAAGCTGTTCCTTAACTTGACCTGCCTTACTGCTTTTTTTCTATTCAGCCTACCGCAGTGTTTTACAGCACTGTGAGAGGACAAATGCAACTGTTCAAACTAAAGGATGAGCAGGAGAACCCCATCCTGTTGTGAAGCATCTTTAGCTGATCACCATTTTCTCCAATACTAAAAGATGACACTTCCAGCTGTTGTGTCTTACTTCACCAAGCTGACTCAGAAGCGTGCCATACATTGAGTCATCCACACTGCTTCTTGCAGTGCCTGCATGCTTTCTTCTGTCTTTCCTTTCTCTTTCCTCCTCCCTCATTGCAAATTTCCATTCAGATTACCAGGCATGTCTTTTCTTGCCTAGCTGTTAAAAGGAATGAGTCCCATAAAAATGCTGAGCATAGAAATACATGAAACATTAAAATCACTGAAGGCAGGTTATGTATATTTGTACAAAACCTACAACTTTCTTCACTAATTGTGACAGACAGTAACTCTGAAAAATCTACAGTTTTTATTTTTCAAAAGATGAAAATATTATAATGGAAATAATTTAAAGATGACCAGGTAATTCCTTTATGACTTCTCTGAAACACTGTTTTTTCATAAATTCTGTTCTCTTACAACATTACCTTACTCTACTGTTCTGTCTCACATGAGCTCTCTGAAGCAGCTTTTTGCCCTAGCAGTAGATTCAGCAGTAGTATTTTGCCACATTCAGAAAGAAAGTTCCAGCATCCTGCTTCTCTATGTCCTTTCTATCCATTTAAATTTATAACTTGCCCTTTTGTCAACATGGAGGACTTGCAAATATATATAGCCTTGTTTAAAACCATGCAAACAAACTGCTTTGAGGAGACTCCTTCTTGTCTCATACTTTTCACAGTGAGAAACTTCCCTTTCTGTGGAAGGTAGACACAACAGCAAAATTAGGCTCTGGTCTGTCCATGCATTCACATAATTAATGATGAAAATAACAAATGTATGACTGCAGAGTCAAGAGTAAATGTTTTTCCTACCACATTCCACCATGATAAACAGGTAAATTTTTCCCTTTTTCCAGTCATTTTGTCCACATCTTGAGCTTGCAACCAGCTTGTGGAGTTTGCCCACTCACAACAAAATTCAGCTAGAGTTATCTTTGCCCAAATTTTCTGGAGGGAAAAAAAAATTCCAGGTATCTGAAGCCATGTCCATAACATCTCACCCTGAAAGAAAATATTTTTATCAATTTAAGTGAAAAAAAACCAAAACATACCATAACCAACCAACCAAAAGAAAAGTCTGAAAGATGTTTTTAATGATATATGCACCTGAATTATAATTACAACATCCACGAGAGCACACAGTAAGGTACAATTCTCATTAAAATCTGTCATTAAATTGGTATAGCCATCTTTTCCTCTGCTCTCTAGTCCTTTCGAAGTTGATCTACTCAATTAAGAAAAAAAAAAGTATTCTCAGAATTTCAAAGTACCATGGATTTCACTGTTTTTGGCAAACTTGTGGCAGTTTTTCTTTGAATATCTTATTCAAAAGCATAGACGTATTAAAATATGCAACAGTCCTGTCCTCAGAATTGAGAGAACTAACAGCAAGTCAGAGTATCACACTATTTCTGCTACATAAGCCCATGAGCATTTTAAATTATATAAAAAAACACTATATATTCATATTACCGTAAACGCTTCTATTAACTGCAAGGTATGCTATGCCTCTTCAAGAGATATTAATCAAATGTCTCACTTTTGATCTGGAGAAAACGATTACAAATATTTCGTTGGACATACCTAGCCGGTGCAGAAGACCTGGGTTAGCCTCCCCCCCACCTCACTCCGGGATGTAGTTACAGCATTGCGATTGTCGCGGTAGCTGGTTTTCAGTGAAACGCTGGCATCCCTCAGCAGGTACGGCAGGAAATCATTTTTCAATACCCTTCGTTTAAATTTTGACGTATTCCTGGAAACGTTGGAAGGGGCTGTAGCTCCTGGACGGTGCGGGAGCCGCCGGTCCCGGCAGGGTGCGGGACGCCGGTGGGCTCGCAGTCAGGGGCCGAGATCCAGCTGCGGAGAAGAGGCTCTTTCACGCTTTCTGTCTGGAAGCGAGCCACGGAAAGCGCTGACCTTTTACAACAGGTTTCACTCCCACTCCTAAACTGTCCCCAGCCCTCAGTTCCCCCAGATGGCACCATCTGGGTCTGAGCCACTTCCCAACGCCAAATGCGGGTCGTCAGAGCAAAGTAGGAACACCGGCGCAGCTCCACGAATCTCCTCCTCGGATTATCCCAGGCTGGCTGACGCCATCCGCCCTGTTACACGACTGGCAGAGACAAGCCTCAGCCCTCCTCCCCAGCCCTTCGCTGCCGCGGGCTGGGCTCAGCCTCCGCCCCAGGAAATCCTCCAAGTAAAGATTGCGAGATTTGAGGTGACTGGCTGTTTGTTTCGTTGGTTTGGTTTTTTGTTGGTTTTGGGTTTTTTGTGGGTTTTTTGGGGGGTAGGACCGACAGCTGCAAACCTCCCTAGTCGAAGACACCGTATTCCTGGAAGAGAAAGGGCCCCTCGAGACTATGGAGGCTGTTGGTGGGAGCATCTCAAGGACATCAGCTGATTTATTTGCTTATTCAATAGGCTGTTTTGGCAGCTTGGTCTGAGTTACCCAGACTGCCACCTGTCACTGAGATATTTAGCTCTGAAGCTTGAACTTACAGGTTTAGTCTCATTTAGCCCCTGAATTATTCTCTACAAACTTGAGAGCTACTAAGTAGTCCTTACATTTTATAGAGGTTACTTAACTTGTGGCTGTTCTCAGAACAGTATATTGGCCAGGTTCTGGTGTTTCTTATTCCTCTTGTTTTACTTGCACACCACAGCTAGAGCCAGAGCTTTTCAAAGCACAAGTTCCTCAAATGTAGTTTGTTAAACATAGAATAGGATATAGGCATTTCTAAGCCTGCACTGACACTTAGTTGTTTACTGATTACTGAAATAGATGGTAAGATAAAGTTCATTCTTATGTTCCTCCCAAAATAGGCAGGAATCAGACATTTTAGAATTATCAAGGAAGAAGTTCTAATTATTGTTAAAAACACATAATAAACACATTTGCTAGGCAAATTAAAAGTATTCTGCAAAAACTGTGGAGAATAATCCGGACATGGCCTGCCCCTTCCACCTGTTTTTTTTCATTCTACTCCTGGTACTTCTTTCATTCCACAGTCTGGTGCTGTTATATTTGCCAAACGGAAACATGTTCAAACATCCTGCCTACTTTGTGGTGGCCACAGATAAGCAAAGATGAGAGATTACACCCTGCTATGCCTGCATCTACTCTCCTCCATCAAAGTAGTTTTGGCTGGAGGCACATTGCAACACTTCCAGACACTAAGCTGTTGGTACACAGAGAATTAATTCATTGGTGGTTCAGAAAAGTCAGCAGGATTTATGCAGTCAGCTAGTCTTTCTTCAGTCACCACTTACATCCATATTTCATTTTGGAAATGTTTCTCGTGACCTCCTTGCATTAGGGCAAACAATTTTATGCAAGATTTTTAGTTTCTGTGTTATTTTGCACCACCATCAAACACCTATGAGTTAAATCTGATTATCATAAAGACAAGTGAGATGTTCCATAATGTGTTCTACTACATTGTTTTAGAAGCACTGATTTACAAAATAAAAGAGTAACTTTTGAAGACTTCTTTTTGAGACATGCTAAAGATTCTGCTGTATGCAGTTGTGGTCATTTGGACTTTTTTTGTTTCTTTCTCCAATTTTCATTATAATACTACTAATAGTGAAAAAATGTTTCCAGTAAAAATGTTGCTGGTATGAAAAACTTTAAACATTACCAAAATGAATAGGTAAAATGAGAACTATTCAATCATTTAGCTATTCACTGATTGATGTGAATCAGAATTCAGAAAAAAATGCATACAGTAAAGCTGAAGGAATATCAACTGAAATGGCTGGATTTCATGAGACAGCAAAAATACAGAGAACATGGCAGTTATAGGACAAAAATTGCAGGGAAGAGCAGAGAAGTGTCCAAGGAAAATGGACATTGACACTAGTCTACGTGAACATTAGATGTGGTCACCAGGGAGACGTGACAGTAAACCAAGAAGCTTTTCATCTACACAAACAGTCAGAAGTATTTTGTCTCATAAAGCTCTAAGACAGAATGAGCTGCTGTAGTAAGCACAGGTAGGTCTCTACAGTTCATCAGTGCCATCTTTGAACACAGCTTGCAGCAGAGCAATGATCATGATGTGCCTTATCTTTCTGCAACTGAGGAGATGTTCAAAGAAGACTGCTTCTGTGCAAATTAAGAGACTGAACTTGGGAGTAGCATTTGGTATATGGCATTTTTCCAAAATGTATTTGCTAAATAAGGTATCACTGTGAAGTCCTTTTGCCATTGGACTGTGGCATGCATCTGCTTTATTTATTTGATAAATGCTATACAGCCAATGAAGGGAGCACATTACCTGTGAAAAATAATTCAATCCTTTTGAGTCATGCTTAGAAAATCAGAGTGATAGCATTCTCTTAGGTAGGGATAGGATGGAAGTTGCCTGAAATGAATTCAGACCATTGCTTTTCATTACCACAAACCTCTTTTTTTCATACATCATCCAGTAGTTTTGTTCCAGCGTTCAAGATTACTTCCCCAATTTACAATACTGACAACTTTCTCTTTTCACCATATATTCATCTCGTTTGGGCGTGTGGCTGCATAAGCTTTTTTGTTTGAATCAAGAGAGTGTTTGTACCGCAAAACAATCCCGGAGCCTATGAAACAAATTCCTTTCAGATGAGGCAAAACTTGAAGATGAGCTCCAGCTACTTGGGCAATCTGTCAACAGTGCCTGACAGCAGTTAGTTTGAAATAAAGTCTCTTGAAACATGCCTTGTGTGGACACCACGTTCTCCACACCAACTGACATAACCTGCAAAACTCAGGGCAATGCTTGCCCTGATTTTTTTTAAGACAAGTGACAATGAGTAGCAAATGTAATTGCTAGGTTTTTTAAGGAAATTATAGAATTCAGTAGTCTTGGGTTTTGCCTGCTCCTGGGAAATCATCCCTTCTATGTGAAAAGAGACTAAGACACCATGTGTCTAAGACATCTGGAAGTATATTTGGGGTAAACAGAAATAAGCCGCGATTTTATTTTTTGGTTATCAGAATGTTTTATCATTTATCTTTCTCATCTGAAACTAAACAGGGCAAATAAAAACCTAACAGAGTTTTAAAGTCCTTTATGTATATTTTTCTACCATTTTTACCTTAAGCTTTGTTGCACAAGATAATTTTGATGAAATCATTGAGATTATCATTGTATGTACACATTTTTAAAGGTACAAAAAAAATTATCAAGAAATATAATTGCAGGTAATTACTTAAGCACAGTTAAAACTGCATAAAAATTACGTATTATACAATTTGAGAACAGAAAATCTATTGAGGAAGAAATATTCAAAAACACAGTATCAGCAGGGTATGCAAAACCTTTTGATTCAGAAAGATCAAAATAGGAGTGGAAAATTGGAAATTGAAAATACAAAAGTAATGTTGCAGTGTTTGGTTGCATCACATTAGTCTGTTGTTTTATTTCAATATCCTTATTGCCTTCATCATGGTAACTAATTATCATGGCAAGACCAGAAGTGAAAGGTTGACTGGGAAGCCAGCTAACAAATGATGACAGCAGACGCTTGAAAAGGGAAAGACCAAGATGAGGCAGTAGTTACTGTCATGGAGGGAACTTGCCATGGGGATTAGCCACTGCCTTCATATTGATATTTTCATTAGTCCTGTCAGCACAAAAAAAATGAGAGTTTTCCTATATAATTTACCAGTGGCACAACAGATGGAAGAGAAGTATGCGACCCTGCAGTATGGCTCATAATGATGTTTACCCATGAACTCCTCCTGCACTAAGAATTTACACCACTGTGTTACTGTTTTTAATTTTAAAAACAAAAATAACCACTTGCCATCCACAGTCACAGAGTAAGGAAAAGAGTTGTGTGTCAAGATTCCTATGACTCTTCAGTATATTATCTCTTTTAAATAAAAAAAAGAAATAGCAAATCCTGCCTTAAATCAGGTTAACTGTTTTCAAAAGAGTTAGAGAAGTACCAAAGGCACCTGTAGTGCACTGATTCAAGTGTTCATTATATATACAGTGAGAAAGGCACTCAGACTCCATGGGATATTGATTAAAATTTGGTTTGTTGGAGATAACCTGAGAAAGTAAAAAGAAATAGCACAGATAAATCTTATGTATCTTCAGATGCTGGGAACACAGAGCTGCATCAGCCAGATCTCTAGTCAGGGCATGCCACACCATGCAAATACCATCTGTGGCAAGTTTTGCAAGCACTGAAGAGTTTAGAGCAGTGGGAGCTGCCTAAAGGCTTTTCCATTCAGGTGAGCTGGCTCCAGGTGTACCTGCAGCCACGTGGTGCATGCAGCACAGCTCAGGCCTGCACCTAATTGCATCAGCTCTCACGTGAGTCACTATCTTCTGCATGGACACACATCTGTTTAGGACTCTGACACCACTGATCAGGGAACTGGCCCACCTTCAGCTGAATGTTGTGTACTGTCCTGCCAATATATTAACAAATTCAAAGAGATTCCACATAACTACTATATACTAGGGGTATACTAGGGAAAATGAGAAGCTTACTTTTCAGGAAAGGTTTAAGTTAATTTGGCTTGTCTAGGTTAAATTGAAGACAGACTACAATTACTGCCTATAAACAATACATCCAGTAGATACCAATGAACTACTTTGTTAGGATTAAGCATGATAAGTCACAGAGAGAACAATATAACTGACACCTGAGATGGTAATGAACTAGCCAAAGGGCAGAGAAAGCCCCTTCCTATCCTGTGTTTCCCAAGCTCAGGCTTTCTAGGTGCCATATATACACATTGCACAGGTATCCACAGCCAAGTTTTGGTCACAGACAAGGGAAAAAAAGCATTTATAATCAAATACATATGAAACTGTCAGAAAATTGTGCTTAGGGGATCAGAAATGAAGTCCTCTAAAAACTGGAGGGCAGAGCAGGGGCTTACAGTTTAGATTACATGGAAATAACCAAACAAAATTCTTTATGAGATCATCTCCTGCAAGTCTTCACAATTACTTTGTTAAAAAGTTCTTAGCAGTCCAGGAATTGCATACTGCATTTTAATCTGTGTGATTATACAAGCATAGCCCCTTTCTGCAGGCAGATGACAGGATTCAATGCCAAGGCACAACACTGGTCTTAAAACGTGTAGAGTAATACTTGCATCTTGCAACAGT